CTGATAGTGATACCATTATGTTGTTATCTTCTCAGAGGACAAATGTTAAATGCTGTGTAAATGGGTAGTTCTTTTTTCTTTTTTTTAAATTTATTTTTAAACAATATTTTATTAATTTTTTTTTATGCGTGAGTGTATTGCTTGCATGTAAGTGTTGTGCAATGCACAAGGAGGTCAAATGAGGCCATTGGATCCCCTAGAACTGGAGTTACAGACAGTTGTTAGCCACCATGTGGTTGCTGGGAATTGAACCTGGGACTTCTGCAAGAGCAGTCAATGGGACTTAAAATTTCAATGTGTGAGATACTTCACAGGAAGGACTCAGATGTTTGTGAACCTGGCTCCATGGTCTTGGTTACTGGCAGCAGAATGATGGCCAGGATAAGAATTAAGGCTAATAACTGGTTTCTGTTGGCCCTGAGCTAGCTCACAGCTAGCCATCAGAGCAGGGAGGGTATGTGCTGAGAGCTGGTGGCTCTCACTTTCTTCCTTGTTGCCACAACTCATGACATGTTGGCTGGCACCTCCTTGCCTAGCTTCCTCTAGGTCCTTACACCGCCCCCCCCAACCCCCAGGCTGCACAAGGCCCAGGAAGAACATCGCACCGTGGAGGTGGAGAAGGTCCATCTGGAGAAGAAGTTGCGTGATGAGATCAACCTTGCCAAACAGGAAGCCCAGCGGCTAAAGGAGCTTCGGGAGGGTACTGAGAATGAGCGCAGCCGCCAAAAGTATGCCGAGGAAGAGCTGGAGCAGGTAGGAGAGTCAATACTGGATGCCTTGAGAGGTGGATAGTGAGCAGGGGTCAGGGTCTGGCTGGAAAGTGTCATGTATGAGCACTTTGAAATATGGTTCAAGTCTTTCTTCTAGATTTGCAATAAAGGTAATGGAAAAGCTGTCAGAAATGGCTGTTATGATTTTCAAAGAATGGGGGATAACAGGAGATAAGAGCAATTTTCTTTTTCCTTTTTCATTGCGGTGTTGACATCAAGTGAACAAATCCTAAATATCCAACTGGTAAGTTTTTACATATGCATATATCTGGATAACCACCACCCAGAAAGCTCACTTTTGCCCTTTATTCAAATTTCACCCAAAGGTAACTTTTTTTACAACCTTTAAACAAGATTAGTTTTGTCTGATTTGAATTTTAAAAAATGGCATTGGAACTGGTGAGATGGCTCAGTGATTAAGACAGTGTACTGCAGAGTCAGACTTGGTGACACATACTTTTAGTCCAAGCGCTTGGGGAGGCAGAGGCAAGCAGATCTCTGTGAGATCCAGGCCAACCTAATCTATACAGTGAATCCAGGCCAGCTGGGGCTACAGGGATACCCTGTCTCAAAAAGACCAAAACCAACCAACCAACCAACCAACCAACCAAACAAACAAACAAACAAAAGTAGAGAGTGTACTGTTCTTCAAAGGACCCAAGTTCAATTCTCAGCACTCATCTGGTGGCTCACGACTATCTGTAACTGTAGTTCCAAGGGATCCAATGCCCTCTTCTGACTTTTCCAAGCACTGCATTCATGTGCACATACCTACACTCAGACACATACATACACATGTAATTTTTTTTAATCTTCATAAAAATGGCATTCTATAGGGCATTCTATTCAGTAGAACATTTTCCTAGCATGCATTAAATCCTGGGTTCAATCCCAAGACAACCAAAACAAAACAGCAGAAAGGATGGCATTATACGTATATGTTCTTTTTGTATTTGGTTTCTTTGACTTAACATTGTGAGAGCTGTCCATTGTGCATGTAGTGATGGTTGATTTCCATTGCTGAGTAATAATCTATTGTGTAAGTAAACGATAATTAATTTGTCCATTTTCCTGTTGATAGTTATTTGGGTTGTTTGCTTCTTTTTGGCTTTCATGAATAACATTGCTATGAACTTTGTTGAATATCTGTTGTTGGGCATAAGTACTCACTTCTGTGGGCTATATAGTAACAGGGCATTTATATTTATGTATTAGCTTTATTAGAAAGTACCAGACAGGGCTTAAAATGAGATCAGTGGTAGAGTACTTGCTAGCATGTGTAAGGTCCTAGGCTTGATTCCTCAGCATTGAAGGCAAGGAAGTGGAGGAGGAAAATGCTAAATAGTTTTCTAAAATGGTTGTATCTATCTATCTATATTGCTACTATGAGTTCTGATTGACCCATGACCTTGGTATTTTTAGATATTTAAATTTTTTTTGATTTATTTTTATTTTATGTGTATGAGGGTATTGCCTCCATGTATGTTAAGTGCATCTGTGTTGTGCAGTGCCCATGGGAATCAGAAGAGGGCATCAGATCCCCTGGAATGGGAATTATGGATGGCTGTTAGCTGCCATATAGGTGCTGGGGACTGAACCCAGGTCCTCTGTAAGAGTAGCCAGCGTTCTTAATGACAGACTTATCCCTCCAGTCCCATTTTTAAACACATTGAAAAATATTTTATGTTTTATTTGTGTGTGTGTGTGTGTGTGTGTGTGTATGTATGTATACATGTATGTGGGTATCCACAGATGCCAGAAGAGGGTGTCAGATCTCCTGAAGCTGTAATTACAGGAAGCTGTGAACCACTGGATGTGGATGCTGGGAACTGAATTCTGCAAGTGCAACAAATGCTCTTAACAGCTAACCCATCTCTCCAGTCCCATAGACATTTTAATTTTAGGCATTCTAGTAGGCATATAATGATATTTTATTGTGATTTTAATTTTCACTTCCCTAAAAAATTTGATCATGTTTTCATAAATTTATTAGATTTATGAATCCTCTCTTTTTTTTTAACTTTTAAAAAAATTTATTGAGGCCAGGCATGGTGGTGCATGCCTTTAATCCCAGCACTTGGGAGGCAGAGGCAGGCAGATCTCTGTGAGTTCAAGGCCAGCCTGGTCTACATAGTGAGTTCCAGGCCAGCTGGGGCTACAGGGAGACCCT